CACACACACACACACACACACACACACACACACACACACACACACCAGTGTATTGAGGCTCCCGTCTAGTAACACTGTCCATGTCCCTCCTCCCCAGTCACCTGTATCTATCTAAAAGGATGTAAGGGTAAAGATGACCAGGAGCAGAGTTCAGTCATGCCTGCAGGACACAATTATATTTTCTATTTCCACTCAGAGGTTGGGGGTACAGCCCTCCTCTCACTTCTCCTGTAGGGAAACCCTGTTCATAATCCCGCATGTCCACAGGATCCAGCTTGTGTGCTCACGGCTCCGTGGCTGCTTCCCAGCACGCTGGAGGCATTTAGTTTTCCAGCAGATGAAAACACTCATTTAGATCAATTGTGGCTGTACTTGAATTTAATGACCCTCTGTGCCTCTTTACTTCACTCGCCCACCAGTATAGCCCATCTCAGATTTATCTTCACTATATTTAGAATAAAGGGATTAATTTTTTGTTTTTTAGCACACATGAGCACCTATAATCTTATTTTAGATAAGAAATAAAGGAATCATAAATACCGTGTAAATAAGGACAACTTTAACAGCATTAACCATGAAAGCTTAAATACTGATGGGGGAACTGCAGTGTGAAAGGTTTTACCCTCCAGCAGTTCCTGATTAGAGGAGCATTCTTCAGATTTGAAGGAAATATGCAGCAGCTTTAAAGCTTGCAGTCAGTGTTTTGTATGGTTGGCTAACGTTTTAACGTTTGGCGCCCTTTTTAGTTCCCACACACTTTGACTGTCTACGTTATAACACCGTGTACTGAGCATAGAACACGAAGCAGTTCTTGCAGGTATTCATCCATCCTCAGCAGCGATGGAGCCGTGACACCACGCTGCCTCTCGCTCTGGACATCGCAGGCTAATCTTCCTCAGGCAGCTGGATTTGCAGAAAGCCTCTGTAACTATGGTGACCTGTATTGTTGAGAAAGGCCCACACTGACAGCTCTCCCTCCTTCTGTGTATATAAACCCTCTGCCACTCCTCCCCGTTTAAATTCACTCATGTTTTCTGTGCACTTTTCTCCTGACTGCTTCTGTTCTTTTTGCTTGTATTGCCTACCAGTCTGATTTGGGGGTGTCCCATGAGATGGATCACTAAATTAGCCTGCTGACTTAATAATGCTATTAAAACACAATGTAGGTGTGCGGTTCGTGTGGTAGTGAACAAAGAAAACCGTAATCTCTTAGCTCTGTATGTGTACTAGCAGTCAGATAGTCTCTTCGGCCTTTGACGTGTATAGGAAGGCTGTTTGGCTAACTCTGATCCTGCATCGTGACATGTCCCCACTTCATAATACTGTGTCCAGTGTGCCTGATGTTCTCATCTCCTGCAGCAGTGGGCAACGTTTGGCTGCTTTAAGCATTCAATAAGTCATCCAGGAAGGAGAGAACATCGGCCACATTTACATGTCAGAGCACAACCTTCTTTTACCCTCTCCCTCATTAAGTTATTTTGTGGGAGGAGCCTGATCCAACCCACTTTATTTTTTTTTATTGGACTAAAAAAATTTTTTGTTACTGTTGACATTTTCATGTCTGTTAATAAAAACAAAAAGACTATTATTCAGACGTGTGTGGTCGTGTGGTTAATCAGTGAGTCAGACATGGGAAATACTGTTTAATAAAAAATAACAGCCACGATAAAGGAAGGGAAATGTACAACTCTCGGAAAAGGGAAAAGCTAGAATATTAATACTGACAGTGAACACCCATTTAATACATTTCCATTCAAACTAAAACAGCACCTTATTTATAAAAGTCCTCAGATTAACCTGAAAGTTGATCTTTAAGGAGACCTGCTCTGCTTTCCTCATTTCCTGATGCACTGTTCTGATCATCAAGCTCATTAAACAAAGCAAACATTAACATAATGAGTTCAGGGTATGTACACGTTGGCCATTTCTACTGTTTGCTCTAATAAAGCCCCCTCAGGCTGCAAGCACAGAAGCCCCACCCACCTGTAAACGCTTAACGAAGGGCAGCCAATCGTAATAAAGTTGGCTTAAAGGAAGCTAAAAGTGGCTTCAGACGGGATGAACTGAAGATCAGCGCTAATAAGAACGGTTCACTGGGGATAGTGCAATGTGACTGTTGTAACCAGTCCAAGATCAAATCTGAAAATGAGAAGAACAGGTCCGCTTAAAAGTCATTCCTGATTCATAAGGTCACTCCATATTTTTGTCCCATTTGTGTCCTATTATAAAGTAACTTCCCTTTATAAAATCCCAGAACAAACAATAGTTTAATCAGGAATTGGCATGGAAGCTCTCCCTCATCCTGAAATCTCAAATCTCCCTTCGAAAAATTAGTTTCCAGGGTCTTTTAAAAAAACATTTTGATACTATTCACAGAACATGGCACCTGTTAGAAATTCATGTTTGTGGCATTTGACTCACATTTCTTGTATTTGTGCATCACAGACTGCAAACGACATCGATCGCTTCTATTTCAAAGCTCAGCTTTAGAAATGTTTTATATAAATGAGACAAATACACTTATCATCTAATATACTTATACACACACATGCACAACAGCAGAAAAAGAGCCCTCCATCCATTTTGGATGTGTGTAACACTGAATGTCTGGAAAGCAGCAGGAATATTAGCAGTACCTTTAAAATAAAGGAGGAAAAATAATACTTTTAAACACGATGAGCTGTATGAATGACTTCCAGAGTAATAGCTGAAAAAGCTGTAACATCTCGGAGAAATAGGCTTTTCTATACAAATATACTGTTTCAGGCACCTCGCTTTCATCATGTACTGGGGAGGTATATAGGTTAACTACATATCCGTATGGTGGCTCAAGTAGTTCAGTGACTTTTCTCTTTTTGTGTGGTTATCTGGTGAAACTACAAAACAATTGTGAAACATCATATGTGACAATAGAAACAAAACTTCAGTGGAGAGCTAAATATCAGATAAATGTATTCCAAAACATGTAAACTGTGTGATGATCTCATCATCAGAACTTTGATGTAATGAGCTGTGGGTGTAGCTCTGACTCAGACCATGTGCTCACCGACTGTATGAGTCGTCCTCTCTGACACTTGGAGTGACCAAACTTTACAAAGCGGAGCGTTTTCATCAGTATGATCCAAAATACGTCACTGAACTGGTGTTTATAGAGGTCCAAGCAGCGGGCTGTTTCCTCATAGACTTGTATAGGACCTGCAACCTTTGGTATCACCCCCTGGTGGCCATTAGAAAGAGTGCAGGTTTAAGGCACTTGTGTGTCTGCTTCACTTTTCAGACAAAGAAGCCACGCCCACCATTTATACCTGGTATGTTTTCAGCACAGAGCCTTCATCACAGCATAAGAGCTACACACTGAAGTGGTGCTCCAGTTGCCCTGTGTCACGCACACCAACATCCCTCACTCTCCTCACGTCACACACCTGACAGACACTTCCAGTTCACCTTTAAACTCCAAATGCTCCCATCTCCTCCTTTCACACATCAGAGCTGCTGCCCTGCATCGCCACGTTTTAGCGCAACACCTCCACCACCCTGGCATCTTCCTCGAGGCTCCAGGAGTCTTCCTCGTCGATTTTTATGAGCAGCACATTAGCAAAGAGAGAAAAGAACTCCGAGTCCAGACGCTGAACTTCTGCTGCTTTTCTGACTGAAAGTCAGTTATACACACACGCCCGCAGAAAGCGCACACAGCTGGGGCTTTAAACCAGTTATGAAAGAACAAGTCAAATTTCTACTGATCGAGCTCCATCGTGTACGATATTAAACCTAATAGAGCCACTGACACCACACAGTGATCACACAGGACGATGGCAGCCGCACCGAGCAGCTACATCCACACACTTCAAGCAGGTCACCGGTCATATATCAAAGTCTGGAATGTGCTACTTTCTTTTTCCTTTCACAGTTTCTGGAATACATTTATTACTGACAACTGATTACTTGACTGAAGGATGTTGTCTCACTGATATATAAATCTAAAGCTGACATTCATGAACTTTCTCAGGAAACATGGATTTTAGAGGGCTGAAGTAAGAACAAGTAGGCCCTTTTAACCAAAACTGCCTGTGACTTTTTCCTATTATGTTTAGTTATAGTTCCACATCACTTTTTGTACTCTTTCTAAATAACTTTAAACTAAACTAGATTTCTTCCTGCTTCAGTATGTTTCTGAGCTGTGAAGGAGCATAACTCCAGACTGTAAGCAGAAAGCAGAGCCCCGCTCCTTCAAGTTCTCACAATAACATTAACATATTTCCTGTGCTTTATAATACTGGGAGCACCTGTTATTAGGCGTGCATCACTCTGCACATCTAAGTCCAACCGTTTTCTCGTTATGGCTTCGTTAACAACATTTTCAAAGTGCAGAGCTCCTCTACATTAAAGTCTCTGTCAGATGGTGAATAGTCTGAACCTTCCACAGTTCATATCTCTTTGCTTGGGTACTTCCACCTGCTTACATACAGGTGACCTCAGCTTTCCCCTCGTCCTGCTCAAAGCCACCTTCCTCCATGTGGGATAGGGAGCTGGGATACCCTCCTCCGAACACTGGGAATCCCCCGATGCCTCCCGCAGGCAGAGCAAGGGTGTCTGGAGGGTCGGGGCTGCTGGCTGCCCGACTCACAGAGTGACTGGACACAGACTGGAGACAGAGAGGGACACAAGTCAGATCCCATAACAGACCATGAAATGACACAGATGGACTACGATTTAAAATAAAAATCTAAAGACAGATTTTCTTGAGGGCGGCTCTGCAGACTGGCGACTGGAATAAATAAAGCAGCTTCATGAAAACTACATCTGGAATAGTTTCCAGGTAACTGCTGTTTTGTTTTTCTGCCCTCCTACGAGTTTGCAGCCGTCACCTGCAGTGAACTCCGAGTAGTACCGACTTTCTCCACCAGGGGGGACTTTAGCCACACAGAGGATATTCCTGCTTAT